GGGGGGGGGGGGGGGGGGGGGGGGGGGGGGAGAGTAGACGGAGGTTGTTTTCACGTGTGAAGAGAAGAAGCAGGTGCAGTAAAGAGGAATAATAATTTTATTTTTTATTTTTATTTATTGCAATCGGCGTCGTAGCGGATTGCAATCAGTATTTTTTCCCGCCAATTCGTCGAGAAAAAAGTGCAGTATGATGAAAGTGGGAGGGGACAGGTCGTTGAAAATAAGTGGTATTGCCGGGATGAGTGTTTTCCCGCGCTTCGGGATTTCCCGCCAACTCCTCGGTCTGGATGGCGCAGCGATGTTCGTTTTCACCGTCCTGTGCTTGTTTGGCGGCGGCGAGTTTGGCGGGAAGCTGGTAGGCCCGCGCGCCGCCGCCGCCGCCTTGTCGGATTACTGCAGGGGGGTTGTGGCCAACGTGTCCACCTCGTGTCACATCGGCGCGGGGGGTCATTTTCGACCCTTCAATTCAGAGACCAGCTGCTGCATTTCGCTCTTAACGGCCAATTTGGAGAGGTGCTTTTGCGACCCGGAGCTTGTTCAGTCAATGTCCCAAGTCTTTGGAATAGCCCCCTCCGTAGCCATAATGGCCCTGGATGGGTGCGCCATACCGCCATCTTCGGTGAACATCTACAACATATCTGGTTGCCTCGGTAATTACCATCCTCTAGGGTATTATTTTATTTTTATTGTAATTGTAATTCGTAATTGTAATTTGTAATTGTAATGAATAATAATAATTGGAGCTCTTTTTTTTTTTTTTTCGTTCTCCGTCCCCACCTTACGTAGCCATCATGGCCCTGGGGCCAAGTCCCACTGGTAGCAGGATTGAGCTACCTCAACGCCTTAATCTGGACGTGATTGTGGAGACGTGCAGTTCAGGAAACTCAACACCATTTCTGCACATCTCCGCAAAAGCGTCCACATTCAGGCGTTGAGGTAGCTCAACGCTGCTACCAGTGGGACTTGGCCCCCTGGGGACGCGTGCGCCTTACCACCGGCTTCGGTGAACATCTACAACAAATCGATAATCACCATCCTCTGGGGTATTATTTGATTGTAATTAAATAATAATTGGAACTTTTTTTTTTTTTCCAAATATGCCGTTTTTTTTTTGTTTTTTTTTTATTATATGAAACTCAAAGGGAATGCCGGCGTTGCGGAACGGTGTTAACTACACAGCCCAGGGCCGAGGTCCCAGTAGCGAAGAGGATTGGATTAAGCTCGTGAATCTGGACGTGTTTGAAGCAGAGATGCAGAAAAAAGCAGTTCAAGCTCGATATTCTGCACCTTTGCTCAAACCCGTCCAGATTCAGGCGTTCAATCCAATCCCCTTCGCTAGTGGGACCTCGGCCCAGAAGGTTGAATGGTACGATGACACGCATGGGGGCCTCTAAATGCGCAAAATGAGAATGAATCTTCCGCTAGAACATGGAAAGATACACCGCCATATGTTTTGTCGTTTCTGCATGTGGAGAGTAGTGGAGCGAGGGCCATGCATGCGTCAACAGTGCAGCGAGCCCAAGTGATGTCATCTCTATGTTTATTTATATATTAAATTAAATAAAACCCACGGTTGGAACCGTGCTGTAGGATTTGCTATCAGCCCTGGTAGGCTTTTGGCTCTTAACCTCAGATTTAGCAGCTGTGGTAGGCGTGTTATGTGTATCGTTCAGCCATCTAGCGACCAGGTACGTACGTTGTCCAAGAGGTAAGTTAAACCCCTTCTTTCCGTTTTTTTGGTAATTTGTTTTTCCCTTGTCCACGTTCCTCATACAACGACCACGTGTTTCGTGAAAAAGGCTGTCAGTCAATGAAAAACGAGGGGATAGATAAAAATAAAAATAGAATTAAACATTAAAAAAAAAAAAAAAAAAAAAAAAAAACACACAATTTCCTGACCGTAATTGTGACGTATTGTAATCCCTCGAGAATGTAGACTGTCAGTCAACGGAGCTTATTCAAAAAAAGAAAAAAAGGAAAAAAAAAAGAAGGGATTTTTTTTTTTTTGTTTATTTTTTAACTTGGTTTTAATACGCTACATTCTTCTCTCAAATTCTCTCATTATTCTCTCAAATTCTTTTGAATTCACCTTTCACTACCTACCCACGTATACGCCTAAGGCTATGCAGGGGAACATGCAAGCATAGCTTTTTCAGCCTTTTTGCCTCTCATCTTTTTTTTTTTTTTTTTTTTTTTTTTTCCGGCGGAGGAGCGGACTCTCATCGTTCTCCCCTCCAACCACCCGTCCGTAAGTTCACTTTTTTTTAATTTTATTTTAAAGTTATCTTTTAATTTGTGCGCTGACTCCTGCTACAAGACTGTGACCCGTCTTCTCCCGAATAGAGCGCGCGGTCAGTATCGCTGTATCTAGACTGGAAGTTGCGCCAGACAATCTCTTCGTCTCCTTGTCTGCCTACACAGCTATTGACCTTGTCAGCTGAAGTTCTTACTTAGATTTTTTATTTTATTTTTTGGATTTTTTCTTTTTTTTTTTCGATTTTTTCTTAGTTAAAAATGCGGTCCTAGCGCACTTGGCATCTCAGATTGCTTTAGGCTTCGCTTATGCGCTCAGTGCGATTGCACTTTTCGGGGGGAGGGTGAAAGAGAAAAAAAAAAAAAAAAAAAGGATTGCACTTGAAAATGGGGTTCTACCTCTCTCGGTGGAGAGAGAGAGGTAACGGCATGTTTGCCCCTTTGCCCTACCGTCTTTACCCGAATAGAACGCCCGGTCATTATAGCCGTATCTGGACTGAAAACTACACCAAATACGGCTATAATCCCCGGGCGTTCTATTCGGATGAAGACGGTAGCGGCGTTTAGGGTGCAGGGTTGGGCCCGCCGAGGGAACGCGATGCTTGCAGGGGTCCCCTGTATAGCCGTGGTAGTTTTTTTTTTTTTTTTTTTTTTTGGAAAAACAGTCCGGCTGCTAGGGAGAGTGATACGAGCGCCTCCCCCTAGCAGTCTTCCTGGAGCGTGGTCCCACTAGTAGCAAAGAGGATCGGATCGAATGCCTGAATCTGGAGGAGTTTGTGGAAATGTACAGGAAATCGAGATTGAACTGCTTTTCTGCATCTCTGCATAAAATACGTCCGGATTCAGGCATTCGGTCCGATCCTCTTTGCTAGTGGGACCTCGGCCCTGGATGCTCCAATTTTTATTTTTTTTTACCGCCTAAAAAAAACTACCCGCTGGAAATGGGGTCCAGCGTCCCATTCTTACAGCAAACGCCTGAGTCTCCATCAGTAGGTAGTGAAAGGAAAAAGATATGTTTCATGATGACATGGCAGAACGCGAGTTAAAAAAAACATGTGAGGTGAGAGAAAAATATATGGCTGTCCCCCGATGAGGAGAAGGCAGCTTAAAAAAAAAAAAAAAAAAAAAAAAAAAGTGATTCTGATACGTCGGCAATGCCGGCGTTTCTGAACGGTGCTGCCTTTTTTTTTTTTTCCCCCCTTTCCTTTTTTTTGAGCGGTGCTGAGTCTGCTGACTAACACCGCCCACCGCCCACTTTGTAGGCTGAATGGTAGGATGTGACACGTGTCACGCGGTCAACTAAGCAGGTCAGGTGTTCGAATCTCGATTAGGGATCAGAATACACGCAATAACGGTCCTGACACACGTCAGCCATTTCCACGTGTCATCATTCTGTTAGGCTCTAGAACCCGTCCGAATCTCGGGCAAGACTCTACCTGGCTGTCCCTTCTTCTTCTTCTTCTTCTGTTTTTTTTTTTTTTTTTTTTTTTTTTGGAAGCCTTTAAGTACTGGGCCCCAATGAGAGCAGCCATCGAGTTGCAGTTGTTCCGGGAAAAAAAAAGAAAAAAAGTCCGGATTTCAGAGTGCAGGTATCTCTGAGAGCGCTGCCACGTGTCATCCTCTCAATCGACTGCTGATTACTGTATGTCCTTGGCGAACGCCTGAGCCACAGAGTCACGCTAAAACTGTGAAGGTCAGCCAGCCAACGCCGTGGATCGTCACTCTGACAGTGCGACAGTGTGACAGTGTGACAGTGCGACAGTGCGACAGTGCGACAGTGCGACAGTGCGACAGTGCGACAGTGTGAAAGTGTGACAGTGTGATGTTCTTGGCGCCTGCACCTGGTCGCTATCATGGAACGGTTCCGTGGATCGTCACTCTGACAATCTGACAGTCTAATAGTCTGTCAGTCTGACAGTCTGCTGTTCTTGGCGCCTGCACCTGGTCGCTATCATGGAACGGTTCCGGCAATCAGGGGCAATTTTAAAGGGGGGGACCACACATGTATGTCCTTGGCGAACGCCTGATGTTCAGGCAATCAGGGGAAATGTTAAAAGGGGGGAGACTACATGTAGCTGCCATCTCTCGCGGGTAGTTTTTTTAGGCGGTAAAAAATAAAATAAAAAAGGGGGGGGGGGGGAGTCGTTTTAAGCTATGAAAAAAAAAAAAAGGGGGGGGGGGGGGGGGGACGAGACAACATGTAGCTCCCATCTCTTGCGCCGTCGATCCGTCGATTGCTCTAATCTAACGGTCAGAAACGGAAAATCTGGGTAAGAGGGGTCAACTGCCAAACTCTGGGCTTTTTTCTGTTAATAGGTCAGCTTGTGACCCAGTCGTACTAATAATCGATTTAATGATCAAATAAAAATCAAATGAACTAATTGCAGTAGTCGATTAAATAATTTAATCAATGAAATTATGATAAATATGAATAGCCAATTAATCGATTAGTGTTAAGTAAACAGTTTAATAATCAGTTGAATTAACTGTGCGCCTTTCAGGGCTCAGGCTTCAGGGGTTAGGGTTTTGCTCTGGGCTGGGGTTTAAGGTTTAGGGCTTAGGGTTTAGGGTTTTGTTTGGAGCAGGGTGGGTTTAGTTTTTTTTTTTTCCCCTGAACAGGTTTGGCCGCCTGCACCTGGTCGCTATCATGGAACTGTTCCGTTCTTTACCGGTTGGCCCGGGGGAGAAAAAATAATAATAATAAAAAATCCCTAGGGGACAGCCGTTAAAACTGGAACGATACTGATCAGAACAGATAACAGGGGCGAGGTCCATCCATCAAAGGGGAGTATATTTAACGCCTGAATCTGGACGGGTTTGCGGAGAGGTGCAGCAAATCGCTATTGATCTGCTTTTCTGCATCTCTACATAAAACACATCCAGGTCCAGGCGCTTAATGCAATCCTATTGCTAGTGGGGCCTCGCCCTGATATCTCATCCGTGGTCCATCACCAGGCCAAAAAAAAAAAAACAGAGAAAGAAGGAAAATTGAAAGAAAACAAAAATTGACAAAAAGGGAAAAAAAAANCGTTAAATCGGAAAAAGATACAGCGAAGCATAATTAACATGGCCCCTGCGCATTCAAGGATGTTACGCACTTTCTTTTTTTTTTTTTTTTTTTTTTTTTCATGTGATGAAATAACGCGCACAAATCGAGGTGCCGTCCAATTATTTTAAGAAATGAAAGCCCCCCCCCCCCAAAAAAAAACACAACCTCCTTGTACACGTAGCCGTTATGTAACCAAACGGTGGGAGCGGATTTGATAGGCGGGATAACTAACCACCATCAGCCATCTTCGGCAGCTAACCGAATAGAACGCGGGGCTATTGAACATATGTATCGGGCCCGGTTTCGGGTCCGAGGGAGAGTGTGTGCCCCCTGCGCTCTGCTCGGTGGGTAAGGAACATGAATGGAAGAAGATTTAATTTAGTTACAACTAAGCGTAGCTATAGTCACCCTATAGTCACTGTCTTCCTCTGACTAGACCATGGGCAGGGGTTATGGGGTTATCCTCTGCATGTATCTGGGCTAAAAGGTGGTATGCATACAGCTACGGTGATCCTGCTGTTTTATACGGGAGAAGACGGTAGTTAACGTAATTCTACCCATTTGGCTAACTAATTCTACCCACTTAGCTAACTAAGTAATTAGAATAATTAAAATAAATAAAAATAATCACGCAGTCATTGACTTTCTCAAGGATTCTTTAGTTGCACATCGAAGCTGCCAGCCATTCTTAGAGTCCTCCTGTAGTATCGATTTTTAATAATAAATAAATGCTTAATTAATATCGTTTCTTAAATTCTTTAGTATTTAAAAATTAATAAATTATTAGGACAGCGAACGATGATGACTAGGCTACCAGCCAGGCCGCCCGGGTCCTGGGTTACCAGCCCGTGCAAGGACAAGGGAAGGTCCCAGCAAAAAAACAAAAAATCCAAAAAATCTGAAAAAAATACTATGTTATGTAGAAAAATAAACTAAACAACTTTTGCCTCAGGCTCACATCGAAATTCTTTACCAAATTTAAAATATAAAATAAAATTTTAAAAAATATATATATTTTTTAATCTTTTTGGCCCGGCCGGGCAAGTGACCCCGGGCCACTCTGGTAGCCTAGAAACTAATAATAAAAAAAGTAAAATAAATAAGTAAATAAATAATGACAGGGGAAAAGCTATATTTTTTGTCAGTGAAGCAATGAATATCAGTGTAATTCTGTCCGTTCATCATTTTCCAATCATTCAATCGGTCAATAAGTAACTAGACAACTAAGACTATATGTATATATGTTGCTTGTTGCCCCCTGTTTTGTTTTGTTGTATTTGGCTGTTCCCTTCCTCTTTTCTTTGCCTCTTTGCCTTTTGGCTGTGTGCAAGTGGGTCGATATGACACACGGGGGTGGGGCCAGCCGCGGCTCAACCTACATCCACGTGGGCGGCCTTTTACGCAAGAGGTTCTGAACAGGGGGAGTCTTGTAAGGAAGAAGATAAAAAATGAATTTATTTCTTCTTTGTTTCCTTCTGTTTTTTTCGGTTTTGCGCTCTGATGACTTTGTGACTATATATATATATAACTTTGTGACAATATATATATATATATTGTCACATGATATCAGAGCGCCTAAGCGGGAAAAAAAAAAAAAAAGTGATAGATAGATAGTCAAACAGAGCTGCCCGGTAAACCGTAGCCCGAGAGGGAGAAAGGGAGAAGAGGACAACAAACGAGGAGGGGCTGTGACAAACCGTTTCGTCGGAGTTTCACCGACTCATCAGGAGGCTGAACCCTCTCTCTCTCTCTCTCTCTCTCTCTTTCTCTCTCTCTCTCTCTCTCTCTATATATATATATATATATATCGTGACGATATATATATATTCTTAAGCATCTTAACGATTTAGGAAATGGGTAATCTCTAATATAGAATTAGTTGAGACTTGAAAAAGCATCTGCACGTCTACTTCGTTGGCCGTTAGCGGCCGTTATTGACCGTTATGCGGCGCCCACGCTTAACGGGGTCGTCCTTGCAAAATCTCAACAGCGTTCGTTAATGAGGCGCGATTAACTGCGTGGCGATCAGTTAGCCACTGCAGAACCATTTTTTTAGCCGCGCTCTTTGTCCCGCGTTGATACTTCGTGGAAAACGCCGCGGGGTTGTATATGTGGGTGATGAAAAGACCTGGGGCGAGGTACCGCTACCTAGCAAAGAGGATTGGATCGAACGCCTGAATCTAGACGTGTTTGTTAGGAAGGTGCAGAAACTCGAGATTGAACTGCTTTTCTGCGGCTCTGCTTAAAACACGTCCAGATTCAGGAGATGAATCCAATACTCTTTGCTGATAGGACCTCGCCCCTGAGTTCGAATCCTTATGACATCAGATACGGAATGTACCTACAAAAAAAAAAAAAAAAAAAAAAAAAATCCTTCGGGACATCCGTTAAAATTGGAA